ACCTTAACTTGTGCCTCAACTTCTTGTTCAGGATCTTCCACTTTGACCACTTGTTCATTTTCTTCTTGAAGTAGTTTACCACTTCGAGTTGTGATTTCCATACAATGAGAAGTCGGACCATTCCCACTACCTTTTGGGTTTGCTATTGTGTCACTTGGGAGCGTATTGTTCTACTTCGGATTTTGCTCTCTTGATAGATCTCTCATTTGCATTTCTAACTTTTGAATGGATGCGGTGTGAGAACCCACAAGCTCGGTCATGTTCTTCATTGAAGTGTCAGATGTTTCTTGATTTTGCAGTACTCGTTCAAGCATGTTTTCCAACTTGGACTCACTTGAAGAACTTTCCTTCCAATGCGGAGAGTTAGAATATTTCCCCTTTGGTGGAACATAGGGGTTTGAACTCCGATTTGAAAAGTTGTTGTTGTTGTTACTCCAATTACCTTGATTTGAACTACCTTGATCATTTAGCCACTGTTGATGGCCTTGACCTTGTGGGTTAGACCTCCATTGGTTTTGTTGTCCTGAACCTTGGTAGGGCTGGCTTTGATAACCACCTTGCGAGTTGTTGACATAATTTGCTTCTTCATAATCCTCATTTGACAAGGGTTGCACATCTTCCACAATATTCACCTTTTTTGTTTGGCTTTCAGTGAACATCTTCATCAATACATTGATGCTGGTTGCAAGCCCGACAATTACTTGATCTCTTTTTTGGTTCTCCTTAATCATGTTGGTCAAGGAAGGAGTACCATATGCAATTCCACCCGTGGTGTCTTCCGAGTTCCAAGCTTGGTTATGTTCTGCCATCTCGTCAAGGATTTGTGTGACCCTTGCAAATGTTTTATCCATAAAGGATCCATCAGCTGCATTTTTGGCTATGGATTGATTCATAGGATCCAAGCCCATATAAAACTTCTCCAACAAGATGTTATCCGAAAAATCATGATTTGGTGACCTCACTAGATATAGCTTGAATCGATCCTATGCCTCATGTAGATGCTCTCCCGGTAATTGCTTGAAAAAGAAAATTTTATCCCGGAGCTCGGACTTCTTGCTTTGCGGGAACCATTTTGATAGGAAAGTTCGGACAAGTTTGGGCCAAGTATGAATGGAATTAGGCGGTAGATTTTGGATCTATTGTCTTGCCTCTCCAGTTAGAGAGTACTTGAACACCCTCAGCCTTAGGACATCATATGAAACGTGATTCTGCTTGTGCATCACACACGGACCCAAGATGTTTCTATGATGTTGTGTTGGATCATCATCTGTGGAATTTCGGAAAAACCCCTCTGCCTTGAGCATTAGGATTAGACTGTGTTCCACCTTGAAGGTGGCAGCATAAACTCTTGGAGGGACAATGACATTTGTATCCTCAATATACTCATCTATATCCGCAAAAATGTTTTCTTCTTCTGGTTCACCCATGTTTACCTAGTGACACCAAGCAGAGCAAGAAAAGTGTGATGGAATAGAAGAAGACGTAAAGTAAAGCACACACTAATTAGTAATTTCAAAACTGTATTCCCCGGCAACAACGCCAAACTTTGATATGCTCAAATTACACCTAAATAAATGGTGTAAGGCGGTCGATGTCAAATATAATAACCCAACTAGGTTGGGGTCGAATCCCACAGTGAATAGGTGAGAAAAGGTTACTTGAATAGTGTGAAAATTGACTTAAGTCGTAATCCTACTCCGTTACCTTAAAAGAGAGTGTTGTAATTATGGGTTATCGAGAAAACTATTTTGTTATGAGAATGTAATTAATTTGATTAAGGAAACCAAGGTTGTGTCCCCATCAATGGAATGTAATGCTATCGGTGTTAATATGATATATTCCTAATGGAAGGTCCTTTCTAAATGACTACCCAATATTTCCCAATAGTTAGGTAGTATTTTCTCTTTATGATTTTCCCAAATGTAAAAGAGTTACAATTAAGAACAACTAATTCATTCCAAATAGAACCCACTTATTCCTAAGCGATTCTATTAAACAAGGTTTAAAGCCTTGAGTTTTTGCTATTCAATTCTACCAAACCCTAACCCACTTTTCCAAGTAAAGATAGAATAAAATGGCATTAGTCAATGTTTGCAACCACCAACATTAAATGAAGCATGAGAATTGAATAAATACCAACCAACCATTATATATATATATATATTCAATGGTAAACTCCCATTAACATTACACCCATTTAGGGCCCACAACCTTAGTATTTAAAACTAGCTACTCATACTAGAATCCAAGAAATCTGGTGAGAAGAAAATTGAGGCCAATGACAGAAAGGTGGAAACATATAACTCTAGGGTCGATCGAATCCCGGGAGCACCCCCGTTATTAAAAGGACTGGAATCTAAGAAGTTTATCCAAAAGCCTTTTCCGCCGAGCGCTGCACCAAAGCCGATCCTAAAGAGGTTTTGTATGCCCGATATTCCAAAGTACATCGGAACCACATATCAAAATGAGCATGTGTTCTCCTATACATGTGCCATCAAGGGTAACGACTTGGAAGATGAAGAAATCAAGTCGGTTTTTCTAAAGAAGTTCGGGGAAACTCTGTTAAAAAGAGGAATGATATGGTATCACAACTTACCCCCAAATTCTATTGATTCGTTTGTTATGCTTGCAGATGCTTTTGTGAAGTCACATGCCGGGGAAATCAAGGTCAAAACCATAAAATCAGACCTTTTCAAAGTTAAACAAAGAGATAACGAGATTCTTAAGGAGTTCACGTCGAGGTTGCCGATGATTGGGACGTTCAGGCATTCACTCAAGGACTTAACCCCCGAAGCTCCTTGGCTTCGCAGCAGCTGAAACAAAATTTGGTAGAGTATCCAGTGGTAACCTAGGCCGACGTCCACAACAGATACCAGTCAAAAATCAGAGTCGAGGACGACCAACTTGGAGCCCCTTCCAGGTCCGTTTATCCAGTTAGAACTGACGACAAGTCTAAGAGGGTCTTCGATCAAGAACCTAGATCGATATGAGACTGGTATCAACCATACAGTGGAGATCGAAGGGGAAACGGGTCCGGGTGTCACACCACGAGAAACAAAAAGAGAAGCGATCGAGGGCCCGAAAACCTAGGTCTGATGAGAAAAAATGGTTTCGACAGGCCGCTTGGGGCCGGGGAGGCCTCGAGATTGTCAGAATATAACTTAAACATCGATGCTGCTAGTATCGTATCAGCCATCAGACGAATCAATGACACCAAGTGGCCTCGACCATTGCAGCCCGACCCTACTCAAAGAGATCCTAACTTGATGTGTAAGTATCATGGCACTCATGGCCACAGGACCGAGTATTGCCGGCAATTGAGAGAAGAAGTTGTCCGGTTGTTTAACAACGGGCACCTACGAGAATTTCTAAGCGATCAAGCCAGAAACCACTTCAGAAACAGGGACGCCAACAAATAGACCGAACAAGAAGAACCTCAACATGTCATCAACATGATCATTGGAGGGGTCTATGTCCCTCAAGGGCCAATGATAAAACGCACTAAAGTATCCATCATGAGGGAAAAACGCAATCGAGATTATGTCCCAGAGGGGACCATTTTGTTCGGCGAAGGCATTATACAACCTTATAATATTGCACTGGTAATATCTGTACTTATCAATAAATCTCGAGTTAAACGTGTGTTGATTGATCCAGGTAGCTCGGCAAACATCATCAGATCGAGGGTCATTGAGAAGTTAGGGCTACATGACCAAATAGTGCCAGCAGTCCGGGTTTTGAATGGATTAAACATGGCATGCGAAACCACCAAAGGGGAGATAACCCTACTAATGAGTACCGTCTGGACCATCCAGGAAACAATGTTCTATATGATCGAAGGGGACATGAGATATAACGCCCTATTCAGAAGACCATGGGTTCACAACATGAGGGCGGTACATTCGACCTTACACCAAGCATTAAAGTTCCCTACACCGGGAGGAATAAAGACAGTATATAGAGAACAGCCAGCTACAAAGGAGATGCTCGCAGTCGATAAAGTACTCTCAGTGCCCACCGTCTCGACATTATGGAACATGGGGCTGACCAGATGGGCCGAAGTTAAATAGCAACCACCGACGCCGGTCCTGGCTAGACCGGAGGAACGAGGAGTCGACGAGGGGGATGATTACAGAGTTCCAAGATTATTCATAGCTACTGATGATATTGATACCACCAAATTGACGGTCGAAGAGTTGAAGCAAGTTACATTGATCGAACACCTGCCGGATCGAAAGGTATACATGGGCACGTGGTTAACACCGAGCTCAGGAAAAAGCTCATTAATTTTCTTAAAGCTAATGTAGCTTGTTTCATTGGTCCCATCTTGACATGACATGTGTCCCGCCGGAGGTAACCACTCATAAGCTGAGTTTGGACCCAAAGTTCCACCCAGTTAAACAGAAGAGGAGACCTCAGTCCGAGGTCTAGCATGAATTCATCAAGGACGAGGTATCTAAACTCCTAAAATATGGTCCATTTGGGAAGTTAAGTACCCGGACTGGTTAGCTAACGTAGTGGTAGTGCCTAAAAAGGGAAATTAGATAAGAATATGTGTAGATTACAAAGCCTTGAACAAGGCGTGCCCTAAGGATTCTTTGCCTTTGCCTAACATAGATCGTATGATTGACTCAATGACCGGACACGATATACTCAGCTTACTCGATGCCTATTCCTTGTACAAACAAATTCTTATGGACCCAGGTGATCAAGAAAAGACCTCTTTTATCACTAAATTCGACACCTATTGCTATAATGTGATGCCATTCGGATTAAAGAACGCCGGTGCCACCTATCAATTCCTAGTAAACATGATATTCAAAGAACAAATAGAAAAATCAATGGAAGCTTATATTGACGACATGTTAGTTAAGTCCCTGCGAGTAGAGGACCATTTGAAATATTTGCAGGAAACCTTAGACATATTGAAGAAATACAATATGAAGACAAACCCGGAGAAATGCGCGCTCAGGGTCGTATCGGGAAAATTCCTCAGGTACATGGTATCCAATCATAGAATGGAGATAAATCCCGACAAAATTAAAGCCATAGAAGACATCACCTTGGTGGACAACGTCAAGGTCGTTCAGAGGATGACCGGGCATATAGCCGCTCTGGGTCGGATCATATCGAGATCCTCGGACAAAAGCCATCGGTTCTTCTCACTGTTGAAAAAGATGAACAATTTTTCCTGGACCCCAGAATGCCAACAGGCTTTGGAAGAGCTCAAACGGTACCAATCACGTCCGCCCCTGCTGTACACTCCGAAGGCGGACGAACAATTGTACCTTTACTTGGTGGTTTCCGAGGTGGGGGTAAGTGGATTATTAGTTCGGGAAGATGAAGGTATGCAATTTCCTATTTACTATGTCAGTAGAACTCTAGGCGAGGCCGAAACGAGGTATTCTAACTTGGAAAAATTGGCGCTCGCTTTGCAAAGCGCCTCCAGAAAGTTAAAACCATACTTTTAATGCCACCCATATGTGTCGTAACCTCTGACCCACTGAGTAACATCAAGCACAAACCCGAACTCTCGAGCAGGTTGGACAAATGGGCCATCAAAATGAGCATGTACGATATCGAGTATCGACCCCAAACTGCCATAAAATCTCAAATTTTGGCAGACTTCGTGGGTGACTTTACGCCGGCCTTAATACCCGAAGTCGAAAGGAAATTATTGCTAACCTCAGGGACTACCTCGGGAATTCAGACCCTTTTTACGGACGGTGCCTCGAACGCAAAGGGGTTCGGTCTCAGCATCGTACTGAAACAACTTACAGAGAATGTAGTTAGGCAGTCTATTAGATTTGTGAAATTGACTAACAATGAGGCCGAGTATGAGGCCATGATTGCAGGTCTCGAATTGGCTAAAGGCCTTAGGGACGAGGTGATCAAAGCTAAGTGGAACTCCCTCCTTGTGGTAAATCAAGTCAATGGGACGTTCAAAGTCAAAGAGGAATGAATGCGAAGGTATTTAGATAAATTACAGGTAATGCTACATCAATTCAAGGAATGGACCATACAACATGTACCCTGAGATCAGAATAGCGAGGCTAATGCTCTGGATAACTTGGGGTCATCGGTCGATGTCGATGAGTTTAGCTCGGGAACAAAAGTACAACTCATGAAATCGGTGATAGAAGAAGCCTGCGCCGAAGTAAACTCAATGAGTTTAACTTGGGATTGGAGGAACAAGTAATAGACTACTTGAAGACTTGATAATTTCCCTCAGATCCTAAAGAGTCGAGAGATCCTGGTACCAAGGCTGCCAGATTTAGCTTGGTCGAAGGGACATTGTTCAGGAGAACGTTCGACGGCCCGTTAGCTAGAGGCTTGGGGCTGGGAGATACCGAATACGCCTTGAGAGAAGTTCACGAGGGCACTTGCGGGAACAATTTGGCGGTAGACTCTTTGGCCCAAAAATTAATCAGGGCCGGCTATTACTGGACCAAAATGGAGAAGGATGCAAAGGACTTTGTACAAAAATGCGACGACTGCCAAAGACACACACCAATGATCCATCAACCCGGAGAGCTACTCCACTCAGTCTTGTTTTAACGACCCGGCCGGTCTTTTTGAGTATTTTAGCCCCAATCCTCTATTTAATTACCCCTCTATGTTGTACTATGGATATGTGATTTTCTGAGGGTGTTTGGTTTTGGTTTCGGGCGAGTTTCGGAGTGGAATGAGACATATAGTCCCTAAGTTGGAGGCTTAAATTGAAAGCGTTTACCGTAGTTTGACTTTTGTCTAGACGACTCCGAAATGGAGTTTTGATGGTTCCAATAGCTCTGTATGGTGATTTTATACATAGGAGCGTGTCCGGATGTGGATTTGGAGGTCCGTAGGTAGTTTTGGCATGAATTGGCAAACGTTAGAAAAATTAAGGTTTGGAAGATTGTAAAGTTTAATCGGGAGTTGACTTTCTTGATATTAGGGTCGGACCCCGATTCCTAAAGTTGGAATATGTCCGTAATATCATTTTTGACTTGTGTTCAAAATTTGAAGTCAATCGCAGTTGTTTTGGTATAAATCGTCATTGGTTTCGGAATCCGGAAGTTCATAGGCTTGAATTTGTGTTGCGATTCATAGAATCGATGTTGTTTATATGATTTTTGGCCTCGAGTAGGTCCGTTATGTATTTTAAAACTTGTTGGTATATTCGAATGGGGTCCCGGGGGCCCCGAGTGTGATTTGGATTGAATCCGGATCAATTTATGGACTTGTGCAATTGCTAAAGTTTCCTGCATCTGGTGTCATCGCATCTGCGGAGGGATTGGCCGCATGTGCGGACTCATAAATGCAAGTGGTGGAGCGCAGTAACGACAAGGGCTGCGTAGGCCTGGGATCGTAGGTGCGAGGTGGTTTCCGCATCTGCGAGTCCTCAGGTGCGGAAAAGTGGTCGCATATGTGGAAGAGGCAAGCTTGGTCGGTCATCGCAGAAGCGAAGAGTTTTTCGTAGGAGCGCACTCGCAGGTGCGAGTTTTTATCCGCAGAAGCGGAACTCCTGGAATTAAGCGAAATCCGCACCTACGATGGTTTATCCACGGGTGCGGCGTCACATGTGTGACCCTAGGCCCGCAGAATCGAGGATCGCTGGGCAGAAAGGTCTTGTTCGAGTGTTTGATTTTAATAATCTATTTTTGGACTTAGAGAGCTCGGTATGAGGCAATTGTTCGGGAGATTTTCAAGTAAAACATTTGGGAAAGAATTCCTAACTTGATTTTGGTAAAATTACACGAATCGATTTTTGTTTTTATCATTTAATTTGTGTTTTGTGTTGGAAATTTTGTGAAAATTTGTAAAACTCCTTAGGCTAAATTTTTGAGGATTTGAAAGGTGATTTGAGGCCGGATTTGAGTGATTCTTGTATGGTTGGACTCGTTATCGAATGGGTGCTCGGATTTCTTAATTTGGTCGGGTTCCGAGATGCGGGCCTGGTTGACCTTTTGAGTTGACTTTTATATTTCTTTGTAAAGATCATAATTTTATTGTTCGAATTAGTTTTCTATCATTTATATTTAGAGTATGAAGTTGTTTTGGCTAGATTCAAGCCGTTCGGAGTTGGATAATCAAGGAAAAGGCCTACTAGTGGATTGAGTTAGCGTGATTTGAGGTTAGTGTCTTGCCTAACCTTGTGTGGGGGAATTACCCCTTATGATTGGTGTTTTTTGTGATAAATGTGATGTGTGGAAGCTGTGTACGCAAAGTGATGAGCATGAGCTAAAAGTGGAAATTTCCGGTTTTAGCTATGTAGATTCCTTTCATGCCTAAATTGAGTTACCTTAACATGTTATAGCCATCATTTCTAGTCTATTTTCACATACTATACTTGTCTTATCTCTTACTTGTTAATTGCTCTACATGTTTAGTTGAAGATCTTATTTCCTTTATTCCTTATTCATCATGCAGCCGTTAAATTCTTTACTTGAAGTTGTTATTCTTTGGATATATTATTATTTAAAGAGGCATTGAGTTATAAAGGCGGTGATTTACATTGAGGCAAAGTGTTAAGTTGTGAAATACTATTCTATTGAGTTATTCACTTCCAATTATTATTATTGAGACTTTTGTGTATATTGTGGTTGAGCCATGGGCTCTTTATTGTGAAAACACTGTTATTGTTGATTCTTTGGCAAGTTGTGATATTAGGCACTTGAGGTCCAACTTCTGATACGTTGTGATATTGATACGCATGCGGTGGTATAAGATTTTGGGGTTGAAACACATGCGGTGAGATAAAGTGGGCTTGGTACGCGTGGCTAGTAGGGGAACTACTAGAAGTCATGCGGCATGATAAGGTGGGGTAAAACGCGGGATGCTATTTCAGAAAAATGATTTTCAAGACTGAACGCAAGGCTCCCGCGGTGATATAAGGAAAGATTGTGAATTATTCTTATGATTTGAAACTACGAGGCGGTACCTCGATAGTGACTCTTGTTGGTACTCTCTATTACTTCACTCATGTTTGGTTGTTTTGTTTCCTTGACTAAACATTTCTTGTTTTCTTTCGTGGTGCATTATTTGCCTTGATTCTGTGTAGTTAATTTGGCATATTCTTTACTTGTTTCATTTCCATTGTCATTATTATTGTATTGTTAAATTTTTCGTCCTGTTTCTTATTAATTTCAGTAGGGCCTTGACCTGACCTCGTCATTACTCTACCGAGGTCATGCTTGGCACTTACTGGGTACCGTTGTGGTGTACTCATGCTACGCTTTTGTACATCTTTTTGTGCAGATCTAGGTACCTCCCACTAGTTCAGGCATCAGTGACCTGAGTTCATATGCGGAGACTTCAAGGTACACCTGCCAGCGTCCGCAGGCCACGGAGTCATCCTCTATCTACTCTTATATTTTTTCTTTCTTCTACTAGTACCGTTGTATAGGGATGACTTTGATACTATTATAGAGCTTGTGACTCGATATCACCAGGTTTTGGGAAAAATGTATATGTTGAGCAGTGAAGTTTATTCTATATAGATGTTGAGTATTTAAGAGTTTATTTCATATTTCAGTTATTTCTGCATAGTTGTTAGGCTTACCTAGTATTAGAGACTAGGTTCCATCACGACATCCTAGGGAGGGAAATTGGGGTCGTGACACTTATCCCCGTGGCCATTTTATAAATAGGGAATGGACATTGTCATCCCCTGCCGTGGGCACCCGATAAGGCTTAATTCATACTATTCATGATCGATTATTTTTCTAAATTGGTCGAAGCTCAAGTGTTCGAGAATGTCTGGGAATAAAAGTCATTGACTTCATTTGGGACCACATAACATGTCGATTCGAGATACCGGCCGAGATCGTTTGTGATAATGGAAAACTATTCATAGGAAGCAAGGTAAATAAATTCTTCGAAGATCACAAGATTAAGAAGATACTATCAACACCTTACCACCCTAGTGGGAACGGACAGGGGGAATCAACAAACAAGACCATACTTCAAAACCTGAATAGAAATCCTACCCCAGGTCCTATGGGCATATTGTACGTCATCAAAGTCTAGCACCGGGGCCACTCCATTTTTGTTGGTCTACGGGGCCGAAGCCTTAATACCAATCGAAGTGGGAGAACTGAGCCCCAAGTTCCAATATGCGATCAAAGAGTCAAATGGCGAGGCTATGATCACAAGCCTAGAATTATTGGATGAAAGGCGTGAGCCGCCCTAGTCCGGTTGGCCGCCCAGAAACCGCGAATAGAAAGATACAACAACCAAACAGTCAACCTCCGACACTTCAAAATCGGGGACTTGGTGTTGAGGAAAGTAACATTACACACCCAGAACCCGAACGAGGGGTAGCTGGCACCAAATTAGGAAGGACCATATCGAGTCGTCGGAATAACTGGCAAAGGCTCATACAAACTCAAAGCAGGAAACGTTGTGCAACTACCGAACAACTGGAATGTGACTCACTTAAAGTGGTATTGCTGCTAAGGTATGATCTCAATTACTCTTTAATAATATTATGGATCAGACTAACACTTGCAGGCAACGACCAAGGATGGATGTGGCTATTAGGTCAGAAAGCACGCATTGCACCCTTTTTCCCTTGAACCGGTTTTGTCCTAAAATGGGTTTTTCGACAAGGTTTTTAACGAGGCAACAGTAAAATGTGCTAACTTAGATTCGAAGACCGGTCTCAAGCTGTAGTTAATGGGCGTTCACTTCACATCAACAGTATCCGAGCCCTATCAAGCTCGACCTTGAATACTAGGGGCCATTACCCTCAGATTAAGGTTTTTAGGAAGGGAAAATTAAGCGGGAAAAACAAGAAAACCTTGTACTTTAGAAGCTAATACCGGTGGTTAGGATTCATTGTAAGGGCCAAACGGTCATGTGAACCGTGCCCACATACTCCACTTCAGCTATGATACAAGCTTTTACACGCTTTCGATCATATACTTTACACTTTGAAATGAAAGAAGGTTCCGCCTTGCTATTACAAATTTTCTTGCCTTGAGCTAGCCCTACTCGGGGACTATCGAGCCCAAGGGCTACCCCTACTCAGGGACAGTTGTCCGAAAAAAGTTCGAATAACCCGGGATACCAAATCCCGAAGGCAACAAACCTATTAGGCGATGCCCAAATATAAAAGGCTACGGCCACCCTAAAAACTGCTCGAAGGCGTCCGAAGCTCGGAATCAGAATGTAAGGCCTTTATCAAAATTCGAAGCCTAGCAAAAAGGTTACCCTTGGAAAAAGTGTCATCTAAAATCACTTAAGCATCTTCAAAACTGGTCACACCGAGGTTTCAAAACTTCAAACAAAGTTGTATAGAAGTCAGGTTCCGTTCGGACCCCCGAAAAATGAATGACCTATAACTACATTTGATTCTATGTTTAGGCATAAAAAACATTACATGAATAGAAATTATAAAAAGATGCTGGAAAGGTAAAGACACGATATTGCCAAAAAGGGGAAATTTCATATATATATTCTGAAATATATTTACAAAGGCTTGACATAACGACCTCAAAACAAAAGAAAACAATACATGAGACAAAAAATAAAAATCTACTAGGGCATCTACGCTTGGTCTTCACCGGGCCCGA